GAAGAAGAAAAAGGACTGTTCGCTCGACTTCTCCTTTCAGATCTGGTAGTCCTGCTCTGATACCATGTTATGCAGGAGAGAAGAATGAAAGAAGAGAGAAAAGAGAGAAGAAGAGAGAAGAGAACTGAGAGCTCAAAGATACTGCTAGCGCCGCAACTTTTTAATATATATACTAGGGCGACAACAACTAAACTAAAAAAGGAGCAAAAGTACAATAGTACCCCTGCGGTACTATACATAGGAAAAAATAACAGCTGTTAACAGCTAGAAGGGAAATTTCCAACTTGTGGTTGGTTCCTCTCTAAGGCTGAAGGTCCTTCGTGTTTTAGATTCCAAATTAGAGAAGCAACATGTTTATCTTCCAATTTGAACTGTTCATTCTGTTGGATCCCCATGATGGGAGTCAACAAAGAGAGAGCTAGAATAGGAAATACTGGAGCTAGGGGAAAATCTATAATTGCATATGATTCTGTCAGCAAATGGCTGTTAAGTTGTTTTTGTCTCAAGTTACTTGGAGGTAGTGTTATCTTATGCATATTTTCTTTCAATATAGTTTTAATGATCAGAAGAAAACGTTGATATCATGGGGTCATTACTCATTTTTATGCTTGGCTCATTTTGGATTTCTTGATTGATTTCTGAGTTATATATTATTCAGGTCATTTCTTGTTTTATCTATTGACTTTATGCACATATAACTTATTGTTTCGAATTGGATACAAAATAATAATGTTATTTCCATAATATATTATTCTTTTCCCATTTCAAAATTTTTATTGAATCATAGCCCAATGTCAAAATAGAACATTGTATGTGCAACATTGATCATCCTTGGTATGTTTCAGGCATTGGATACTTTCAACACAGCTGTTGTTTCCCCTATCTATTATGCCATGTTCACATCTCTCACAATCCTTGCAAGTGCCATAATGTTCAAGGTACTTAGTGGATTTATATGCTGCAGTAATACAAAATTTGTGTGGTTCAAATTCAGATTTGAAGTTCTTGTATTTCAGGATTGGTCTGGTCAGAGTGCAAGTAATATAGTATCAGTGCTCTGTGGATTCATTACTGTGCTTTCAGGGACTGCAGTATTGCATAGCACCAGAGAACCAGATGCACCCCCTGTTACAGGTATTTGTGGTCATGACTCATGGACATAAAGACAGACCTTGCTTTGCTTAATGCATATCTAAAAGTTTGTAAATGTAGACACATAAATATCTGCTGAATGTTTTCCATCTTTACACAAAGATGTCTACTGAGGTTGGCAGATGTTTGCCATCTGTTATTCCTTGTGTATCTT